AATACGAATCGCTATGTTGGATTTTAAACTCACGAGAATACAAATCGCGATATTGGGTTTCAAAAACGCTTAAATACAAATCGCGATATTGGATTTTTAAAGTGAGTGAATAGGAATTGCTAGTACGATTTTTAAATCGCGTAAAAAAATTGCAACACATAAGTTTTAAATCAGTTAAATACGAAAATCGATGATTGATATTAAAATCGTCTGATTAAAAATCGCGATTTTAGCAGATTCCGGTGCAGTTCCTAATATTTAAAAGTCCAAAAATCAGTCAGACAAAAAAAAAAATCAAATATCGGCGGTCGAAACGAAAAGCTTAGACTCCTTTCCACTTTATAGCGGAGGTCGCAGTAATCCGACTACCGTTCGGGCGGCTTGGGTTTCTCCAATAGGACTTCCCAAAAATTTTAGTTTTAGGAACATGGTCGGAAATTTTCAAAATTGGGAGAAAAAAAAATCGGATTTCCGCTTTTTCGCGGGACACGAAGCGTTCATTGGAGGATAATCAAGTGATGCTTGACCGCGATGAAGCAGATGCGTTTCACTCCGAAAAACTAAACGTAACGGAATGGGAAGAAAAAAACGGCGACGCGCGACAAAATTATTTTCCAGAATCCACGTGAAATTCCCTGAGAATTCCCGGTTTTCCAGTGGTATTGCAAAATTCCCTGAGAATTCCCGGTTTCCAGATTGAGTGGCCACCCTGAATAAGTATGGTACAAAATAAAAGGGGAAGCATTCACTAGAATACCTTGGTGCATAAAAGGAAAGTGAGGATAGAATTAAATGTTATTTCCAATAATAATAATAATAATAATTTTAAAAAAAAGTTATTTTATTTTACATTTCTTTAATAATAACAGCAATATGCAGAATTAATTTAAAGTTACAGATGAATGTTTGAATGCTGTCTTTTTATAACTTGCAATTAGCCATTGTGGATAACTAGGATTAACAATTATAGTTCAATTAAAAAAAAAAAAAAAAAAACTGTCTAAGGTATATTTGAACTGTAAGTTATATTTGGGTAATAGTAAATTTGGACTCGAGTTAATTTGTACAGCAAAACCCAGATCAATTAGTTTTCTCAATTCTAGAAGTTTAGATTCTTGTTACCATTTTGTTCTGTTCTTAATACTAAACTAACCTCTTTAAGGAATTTTGATTTTTTCCTAGTTAAAAAGTTTTCTCAAACAGACAACTTTCCTTTCAAAACACAGAAAATTATCAGAAAAAAAGGAAACAAAAGTCTTCAGAAATGAAATGCATTATTATAAAAGCTAGTAAAATTTAGTAAACTGGTAAAAAGTAATTATGATAAAAACTAGTAAATGTATGAAAAATCATTTAACTGTTATTTAAAGTGTGTGGATTCATTCCCAACTTAGTTAAATTGAACAGATCACAAAACATGAGTTCTCAGAAAAACGAAGTATTATTCCAAAAAACAATTGCAAACTGTTTTTCTTTTGAACAAGACAACAAAAAAAATCTTTTATAGTGACAAACATAAAGAAGTGCTTATGAGTTTTGTGAGTACTGTATATTATTACATAAAATGTCAGTTCCCTGACAAGGTCATAATTTATAGCTTATAGTGAAGCATTTTTGAAAACTACTAGACATGTTTCATGATATTAAGAAGAATAAAAGAATTATGATCATCATAATAAAAGACAAAAACAAACAATAAAATTCAGTTATTTGTGAGTTTTTATGTTGGGTTTTGTCTTTTAATACTTAATGATTTGCTACTTTTTTGTTGACTTTTGCGTGTAAAGGTGACAAAAATAAAAATGATTTTACCAAGAAAAACAACAAGTTTCATTTATTGCGCTTAAGCTGTAAGTAAACAGAACTCATTAAATAAGTTCAAAATGAAGATAAAACAAAGAAAAATTATAGACATAGAAAAAAAGTATATATATATATATATATATATACACACACCCTTAGCAAAAATTTATCTCAAAAAGTTTAAATTTACAAAAGGGCCTCTCATAAAAATTAAAACCACAAAAAAAGGACTCTTCATAAAAATCAAAACAACTTCAGCAGACCTTTCACAAAATTCAAAACTGAAATAATTTTCTACCTCAAAATGCTAATTAATTAAAATATATGATTAATATTTCATTTCATTTGTGCTCTAACAACTTAAGTGTCGATTGTCGTGTATAAAAAAATTTTCATTTCCGTGTGAAGTAATGAGGAAACCTTATTTAAATGGATACTTAATGGAACTTTCATAAGAAGAATGTTATACAAATTTTTAGAAATATAAGATTTAAAATCATATAGAGGTTGAACAGAGAAAAAAAATATTCTTACTTATATCTACCAGCAGTTTTGACATAACGATATGTATCTTGTCCATCCGCATCAAGTGTAATGTCATCTGAAAGGAAACATTGTAGTGAGTTCAAAATACCACTAGAATTATTTATTCAATGAATAAATACTTACTAGCATGAACACAGAAATCACAATCATACTTGTCCAAAGTTTCAATTGTTGTTATATATGGAGCAGCTTCAACTACCTAAATATTATTAAAAGCAAAATTAAATCAGTTCAATCAGGCCAGTAAAATCTGATTGATAAAAAATAAATACAACTTATTACAGAGCTGTTCAGCATTATACAAAAATATTCCCAAACAAAGAACATAGGTGACAGTTAAACTTGTAGAGAAAGCATCACTTAAAGAGTTTAGTGGATTGAAATTATTATGTTCAGCTGCATGCATAGATTTCTTTTGCAAGTTATTTGTTTTACAAACAATTTCCTGCTGTTGCTAGTTTTTCTCAATCTAATGTCAATAAATTCATGAAAATATTATTTAGAATATACTTCTTTTAAACTCTTCAATTACAATTTTTTAGAAACATGTTTAATATGTTATGTCAAATAAATAATTCTAACATGACAAAATAATTCCAAAATTCTTGTTTTGCATAAAAAACTATGTAATAAATTTAACATAAAGGAAGAAGAAATACCTCTATCCAGAATCCAAACTGTCAATGATGCAGAAACTCAAGTTAATAAAAGAGGCCAAAATAAAAATTAAAAAAAAAAACTGCATAATTTTTTTTTCGTTTTTAAAGTATTCAGCAGCAACAATAGTGAAAAAATCATTCCAAATTGATATGATTGAATTTTCCTGATTTTTGTAACAAGTGGCATAAATTTCATTATTAGTATTACGGTCATACTTTATTACACATATTTTCCAGACTGATATTGTTGAATTCCTCTAATTTTTGTAACAAAATTTTATTATTATTTTTACAGTAGTGCTTTATTGCACATAATATTTTGAGGACTGATATAATTGAATTCCCCTGATTTTCGTAATAAGTGCCATAAATTTTATTATTATTTTTACATGCTTTATTACACATAATATTTTGCGCACTGATATAATTAAATTCTCCTGATTTTTGTAACAGGTGGCATAAATTTCATTACTAATTTTACCGTCATGCCTTAATTTTTACAAAAATTAGTTGTAAATTTGATAAATAAATAAAAACTATTACAAGACCAATTTTTTTTTTTTTTTAAAACTTTTAGATATCCCAAACTTAATTAATTTCCTTCCAGTTGAGTATTTAAATCAATTTCCCTTATTTTTCCAGAATGATAAAATTCCTTGCTTAGTGGCTACCCTGGATAATTAAGTACTCATAATTATAAATAATAAATAAAAATATTTTCTAATTTAATATATTTTTCCATTGCAGTTAATAAATACGCACACATAGCAGTTAAAAATATAAATAAAGTCACAAAATTATTAGACTAAAAAACACCAGAAGTAAAAAGAATATGACACAATTAACTTATGATGGTTTGCTGATTCTAATGCATTAGGTAAAAATTGTCAAAAAAATTTAAAATAATAAAATGTTTAAGCATTAGAACAATTTTACTATTTCGTGAAAACTTCTGACAATATAATTTGACCTTAAGTTTGACATAAAAGCAGATAGCTATGATACATATTAATAAAATGATAAAACATTTATAAGAATAAATCTATGCCAGAAATATCGGTACCAATTACGATATATAGGTTTGTTCAAATTTATAAAAAAACCTTAAAGCTGAATAACAATTCTTAGTAGAAATTATAATTGAGAGATCTTGCATAGAGTTTGTTTTATGTTAACCACAATCCTATTTTCTACTCCCTCCTAGCAAAAGTGAAATATGTAGGAAAATTTTCCAGGTATGCACTTAGAACTTCAAGAAGCGGGTAATGGTACAGAGAATCCCTCTCATCTCTTATTCTCCCACAAGAGACAACATAATTATCTTGTTCTGTTATAAGTTGTAGATAATAATATTGTAGATTTAACAGTAACTACTATAAAAAAAAGTGAAACAAAAACAAATAAAATTGACTCACATATACTTACTTCATCAACCCATTTTACAGCTCTAACCATTTTGTAGCGTTCTTGTTCATTGAAAACAGGAGGACCTTTATGTTTGGTTATTTCTTCTGCAATAGTTACAAAAGCTTTTTTTATTATAATTTATCAAAAAGTAAATCATAAGTAAAATTTGTCAAAAAGTTCAGTAAATTTATAAAGATAAAGTAAGTAAAATAGGATAGCTATAATTACAATATAGTAAATAACATTAAAATGGAATGATCATTATGTATTACTAAACTTTATTATGCATTATATTAATTTAAAAAATAATCAGGGTGGCCACTCAAATCAGGTTTCAAATTTCCCTGATTTTTCCAGGTAAAAATATGAAAATTTCCAGGTTAACATGTTTTCCCCCCCTCAAAGTAGAGGATGGATACAACAAAAGTACCAATATTGTAAAGTATTCTATTTAAAATATTTCTTTTAATATATCATATTGAAAAAATAATTAAAATACATTTATTTTAACAATTTAGCATTTTTTTTTTAAATTTTTAACATTATGGTACAAGAATAATTAAAAAAAAAAATTAAGATGGATATGGGGAAAATAATATGTTTAGCATGTAAAATATATTGTTTTTATTGAGTAAAAAAAGTTCACTAAATGGCAAATACAGAAGAGAGACTCAAAAAAACCCTTGACAAGTATTGTTTAATATATTTTCATTAGGGATGTAATGAATATTGATTTGGCAGAATTGCCAAATACCGAATAGTCGGCCTAACAAATTGTCTTTATACCAAATATTTGGTGGCTAAATGGAAAAATGCTAGTATTCATACTACCATTTTTCTTTAAAAAAATCGTTAACATATATTTTCTTATATATAAACAAGTTTAGTCATTTTTGAAAATTAATCAAAACTTAGGTACATTATTGGTGCGGAGTCAAGAGAAAAAATTATAAAAGTTATCCGTTAGAAATATTTAAGATAAAAAAAAGCTAACTAATAGCTACAAAAATACTGAAGTTGTAAAGTTGAATAAAAAAGAAACAGAGAAATAGCAAAAAATATTCCCTTAATTTTTAAGACAAAACTTTAATGCTGAAAATAGTATTTTCCGAATAAAAAGTAAACATAAAACTTTAAAAGGAAAAAAGTCTATCAGAAAAGCTTTTAAAAATGCCCACAAAAAATTATACACAAACGCAAAACATAAAAAATAAAAATCTATCATAATTAAACTGAACTGATGTACTATCATATTTAAAACTGAACATCTGTTTTCCAATTATACTGTATTTTTTTAATTTTTTTTAAAAAGGGTAGAGAAAAGAAATAAGTTAATAGAAACTCTCTTAATTGCTCCTGCATTATAAAACTCTTGATAATAACCAAAGTTTTTTAATAAAAGAAAAGCTAAATAGAAACGAAAACAAAAATTGTTCTAAATTTTTAAAAGAAAATTTAACGTCAAAAATAACGTTCTTCAGAAACGCTCTTTAAAAAATGCTGTATCATAATAAAAACTTTGATAAAAAGTTAATAAAAAAAAAAAAGACAAAGAAGAGACAGAGAAAAAAACATTCTAATTTCTTAGAATATAACTTTTAGGTTGAAAATCACAGCATTTTTTTGTTACCAGCTATCTGTCTTAATATACTAGAAAAAAGTAAAAATAAAATCTATCATAAAATGCTCAGTTAAAATGCTGTGCTATAATAAAANAAAAAAAAAAAAAAAAAAAGAAAACAATCTAGATTTTTAAAACATAAATTTTGCTTTGCATTTACATAATTTTGCCCATGAATATTAAAACTTAACAAAGATGTGTAAAGACTTTATCTGATAATGCATAATAAAAATACAGTACAGGACCCGTTATCCGGAAATCAGAAAACCGGAACGAAAATCAATAAATTATCCCGCAATTTAATAAAAATTTTTTTTTCCTCATAAGATTTTAGGATTTTTCTTTCTTTTTTGAAAGATGTTTACCTTACCATCATTTTGGAAATAATCGTTAGTGTATTACTTCATCGTTTTTTCTTCTTTTTAAGATTATTTCCCAATATTTAAAAATTTTTTTTTAGTTGGGTTTAACAATAAAAAAAACGGCTTTTTGTAGCGATTCAGAAAACCGGAAAAATCAGTTATCCGGAATAGCGATGGTCCCGATTGTTCCGGATAATCGGTTCCTTACTGTACAATTTTAGATAACTCTTTATTTAATCTATTAAAACTTTGTCAAAAAATACTTGGCCGAACATTCGGCCAGCGCCGAATATTCGGCAAGCAGGCCGAATAATAATCGAATATTTGTTGCATCCCTAATTTTCATTAAACAAAAAAATAATTAATAAAAAACAATAATTTCAGGCAATTATGCACCAATAACTTTTATATTTATTTACATTTTATACTGTATTTAATCCAAACAGTGCTCTTTGTAAAATTCATTGATCATATTTTCTTTAAACCAATATCTAAAGTCAAATATTTAAATATGTAGTTTTCAAGCAGTTTTATTATTTTAAGCAATATGCAGTATTAAAAAATTAATGTCACAAAGGCAAAATAGCCAAATTTCTTATTGCATATCCTATGGAAAAAAAACTAGATAAATTCTTTACATTTTATTCTTTTCTAATTGGAAATTAAAATATTTAAAGAATTCCTCTCTAACTAAATATTTTTTTTTAGCTTAGATTAGTTAATTGTTTTTTTTTCCAACTAGAAACCTGCACAGTGCAGAACAAAAATACAGCTTCATTCTCCTCCTTCCCAATAAACGCATATGAGTAAAAAAATTTATATCCTATGTTTATACAACATTTAACATGTTTCCCAAACATTCCCTAACTTTTACCAGCTTCTTAAGGTAAAAGGAGAAACAGTTCTGGAAATATCATCTCTGGAAAAAGACTAACATTAACGAACTTTTGACATTGCTATTACTACACAACATAACAATGTTAACATATGGTTCGTCCTTAAAAGAACCCTTTTTTAATTAAAATATGTTATAAAAGGTTAAAAGGAAATCGAGAAAATTAGCATCAATGCAAAAATTGTAACGATTTGTTGATAAACATTGCTGTTAGCGATTGTAAGAAAATATAAGATTGATTGGCTTTGCTGAGAAAAATAATTCACATTTGGATGGAAGTACAAAAGCTTCTAGAAAAAGTAAATTATGATCAACAAATTTGTGGTGAAATTAAAAATACTAAAATATTCTTAATCATTAGTCAGAAGAAAGGAAAAAAACCTAAAGCATCAGTACAAACTTGAATGATAAATGGATTAGAAGTGAAACAAATGATACTTTTATAAACAGAAGGAAATATCTTAACTCCTTCTTCAACTACAATCTTTGCCTTTCCTAAACTGCATAGTTTCTACATTCATGTGTCATTCTAGTTTAACAGGGATTAATGTAGTAAATTTTGATGCAATCAAAATATTGCTCAGTTGATATTTCAACTGTTTGGCAATAAACTTCCGCCTAAAAAAAGTGGGTATAACGGATCATAAAATAATTTAAATTAAGAAAATCTATAAAAAAAATGCCAGCTTTTCTTTAAAAATTCCCCGATTTTTATCTAAATTTCCCTGACTTTCCCAGGTTTTTTCCCGTATAAAAAAATTCCCTGATAATTCCAGGTTTTCAAGGTGGGTGGCCACTCTGATAATCACAATTTTTTACAATTAAAAATATTAAAACAATTTGTATCAAATACATCCCGTTAAAATATAGAACAATGCATTATTTAAATGCCAAAATTTTATTTAAAATTAAAAAAAAAGAAAAATTAAATTTCAATAAATAAATATGTAAAATTACACAAATAAAATTTTACCATCGGTATGAACACCAACTATTAAGTAATCACCCATTGCTTTCGCCTAAAATATATAAATAATAATTTACATAAATTATGCATAAAATAATATAAAAAATATACATAAATTTCCACAGAAAGCATAAGTAAATAAATTTTATGCATTAGACCTGATTTTAAATAAATGTGAATCATAAAAAAAATTTGATTAACACAGGGTTCTCCCTAGGAATGAAAAAGGGTACTCACATAAAAGGGTAATTTGAGTTTTGAAAGGGCACTCACTCAGTTATCTCCTTAAAATTCATCAAAATGTGTAATATTATGTAATAACTGAACTTGATCCTCAAAATTTTTTAAATTACCTTCATATTCTACTATTGTTCTTATATTAGTAGGTGTACATTTCAAAAAGTAATTCTTACTCTTTATAGAAATAACAGAAATATTTGAGGCTTCTGAAAAATAATTAAAAGCAAGCTAAAAGACTATCTCTGAGTATACATCTTCTTCAAAAATAATAATAAAAAAAGATTAATTGATAAATTACCAGGAAGCTTTTTTAAATATATTTTAATATGATAAAATATACATTAAAAGGTGCATTTTCAAATAAAAGGCATTTATTAAAAAAATAATGGTAACATTTAAAATCATTACAAAATTCATTAATATACTCCCTTCTCTCAAAAGGAAATTAATAAAAATTTAGCCAGTTGAAAATAATCCCCCCTTTTTTTTTTAAAACTTTATTTCCAATGGCAGATTATAGACAGTAACAGCATACATAAACATCTAAAAATAAGAACAGAAACAAAAGATGCTGCAACAGAGTCTATTAATCACAACATGTCTCTAGTTCCCAATAGCGTTCAGTGATAGAATTCCTGCAAAGTGCACGGCAGCGGAGAAGGTGCGTGGAGTCCATGTCCTCACCAGAACTGCAAAGAGTGCATACCGGGGAAGGAACGATACCAAATCTACACAGATGTTTCCGCTGACAGTCATGACCGGTGGCCAAGCGGAATTCAGCCACCGCTCTTTGTCTTGGGCCATTTCACAAATTTAGGATGGTAGTCCTCCAAGACGTAGTAGAAGTACGATCGATAAGTTCTTCATGAGCACAAGTCTTAAGGGTCCTCTTAATAAGCTGTTTGATGGAACAGAAGGGTATAATGTGCGCAGAAGTTTGAATAATTAAGGCCCCCTTTCTTGCCAAGTAGTCTGCATTTTCATTACTCATAACCCCGCAGTGAGCAGGAACCCACTGGAGAACAATGGATTTGAAAATAATCCTAACAAAGTAAATATTTTTAATAGTAACCAGAGTTAATTAATTTATTTTGAATTCTTAATTTAATTGATTTTTCTAGAGTGTAATTATTAATTAAACAGTGAATTAATTTTACTAAAAATGGAATATGTAAACTAGAATTAATGTGTACACATAATAGATGTATGAGTTAATTTGTATTTATTTATGAAAAAAGACATTATCCATTTAAAAATAAAACATTATAATAGGTTAAACAGATTTTAATATTTTGTATAAAAGTAAAATAAGAAAACAATATTTTTCTCAAAGAGTAAATCTGAAGGAAAAATTAAATTTTTTTCTTACTATATTAAATTTTATATGTTTAAATTTAAACTAATAATTATTGCTAAATAATTGTACTGGTCATTTTTAGGTTTTAGTTAATTCCTGTTCTTTTCAGTGTCTTGGAAAAAATATACTTTTTCCTAAAGAAATCCCAACTCAGGATGACAATCTAATCTAACAGTACAATATCTTCAAAAAATTAAATGGAAACATAAAAATTTGATATGAATATCTCTGGGGGCGAATATCATGCAAAATTTTTAACTATACAACAAGACAACATAAAAATCTTATTAAAATGAAGGAATGAAATTAAAGTAATTACTATTTATTAATTTTCATTAAAATTGATGGTTAAGAAAAAAACTTTTTTCTGAAATATTAAAATAAATAGGCTGTATTTTTAAGATGGTGCTTATTTTTATAAAGAGGATGCATTTATAGGGATAAAAGGGCAGACAGAAAAATCATTTTAAAAACACTTAGGAAGAACACTGATTAAGACATGTAAAATGAATACTTTTAAATAAATATATTATACATATAAATGCCACCAACCAAAATTTTTATTAAGGCATGAATACAGAAGAAAAATAATATTAGAGATCTAAGAAAAATAAACAAGTATTAACTTTCATCATAATAATAAAAATATACATAGAGGACAAATGGATGTTCAAAACATGATTGCACATAATTTTGTTTGTGCAAAACCTAAAAAGGACAAAATAAATTTTCATGATTATTCAAAAATTCTTTTTGTACACTCACTTGTCTTAATTGATTTGCATGACCAAAATGTACCATGTCATAGCTGAAAAGCAAAAATTTAATAAATACAACATATAGTAATAAAAATAAATGATTTATTCATACCTTTAAACAGAATAAACAAATAAAACAAAGATATTTTATGTTTAACAATTTTTCTTTTATAAATAATTTTGCACTCATATTTAAAATTAGAGACAAATTATGTTAACAAAGAATAAAGAAACATACATATTAAATAACATAAAATCAATTAAATGATAAACATATTTTATTTCCCATGCTTAAAATGTCATTTTAATGTTATGTAATAACCACATTTAATATATAATTTTAGATTTTTCGATAAAACAAAATTAAAGAAAAATGTGTAGATACCTTGTGAGCGTTAAATAAATATTCAAACTAGAATAAAATTTCTTTCATTAAAATCTGTAAACAGATCTCTAATGATGGAAATAGGCCAAAAAAACCCATCAAAACCTGTTTGATTGCTTAATGTAACTATAGATATTTTTAATAATCAAGGTTCAATTTATCTTTCCTTTTTAAATCACACGGGTTTTGATTTTTTCAGACCTCCCTAGGTAATGATTCATCTGATTTTGGAAGCATTTTTTACTTTCTCTTCTCTTAAATATATTGAAACTTCTAATTTATGTGTACTTTTAAAATGAGGAGTTTAAAAATATGTATAGAGAGCAAGAGCAGTAATCATAGAACACCTTGCATACATAATGTGAAACTTTAGTAAAATAACATTAACATGACTAAGCAAAATGCCTGAATAAGAGTGAAGAAAACTTTAATTAAGACTTTAAATTTGCTTATTCTTTGAGCAAAAGCACGTAAAAAACAGCCATACAAATATTGAAAACAGTGTCACTTAACTAATTGCGGTACTAATAGGTATATTAAAAGGTGCTTTTCCATTTATCATTAAAAATTAAAATTGAAAACAAAATACTTCTATTTAACTGGTTACAAGATATAAATTAAATTCAACAAGTCTTAGGAGTTGATGCTGCACTAACTACACTTTTTATTTTATTTTTTATAACACAACCAATGATAATGACATGTTTAAAGACAAGAACAGTTTTAATAATAAATTTAGAGCTATTGTTTGAAAAAGAAAAAAATAATTTCGAAATTTAAACTTAGGAAAAGATAATTACTCAATTTTATTTTTTATATTTTAAGAAGACAGAAACAGTTGAAAAATATTAGCAAACTTCAGAAAGGAATATATAAATAGCCTTTTAGAAATTCTGCTCGTAAAAATTAGTTTAAATTTAATTATAGTTTGTAAAACTATCTAATGTTGATTCGGGTAAAAAACTTACAATTGGGTGAGACGTGTTAAATAAATAATACATATACATTTCTGCTAACTTAAGTATCTTTGCAAACTAAAATAAGTAATAAGAAAAATGAAATGACGCAATTCAAGGAAAAGCTACTCTTTTCTACTACTGTTAGATTTAGTTAAAATGTATTTAATTTCTTAATCAAAATAGAACATTTTAACTCACCATCCATCACACCAAACACGAATCGGCTTTTTTAAATTGCTATGATTGTTAATAGAAGCCATGTTACTTGCGGAGTGATTCGAATTGAGATTTTCGGAAGAAAGACCATTCATCTTGGTTCAGCACTTCTCTTATCAAACAGAGTGAGTAATTCAGGTCTGCTCATTAAAATATGACAAGAAATGTAAACAAGGTCATAAGTTTTCGTCTGCGCTATGAAATTCTAAACCATTGCCAGATTTTCAAACAAACGAAGTTAAAACTGTTCCTATTAAAAAGTTAATTCTGTAGATATACTGTAGATCTGTAATAACGCACTGTCTTGGCTGACCGCCCTCTTATAACCCTAAACTTTGGCGATCTGGTGAAATGGGTGATTGCCAAACGAAATCTATCGCCAACTGCTTGGATGCCCGCTTTTTGAACGTGATTGAAAATGGCGAAAATGTTTGAGCTGGAAAGATGTAACGAATACGCTAGGAAATACATATTTTTTACTACAATATTTTTATTCATGCAAAGTGATTTCTAGATACTGGACATTAGTATTGCAGCGCTTGCTGAATTAATATAAAATAGCTCTTGGTGTCGACATTTTTACTGGCTAGCATTGCATATTGCAGGTATCATTTTCATCACTTTTCTTAGCATTATTGTCGGATCTGTGTTTTTATTTAAAGCAAGAATTTTTGTTGTTAATTATAAAGATTATTTTTGTGTGTGTGTGTGTATTGAATATTATTTGAAAGGAAATATGAATGACAAATAAGTTATAACTGTAATAAAACAAGGTTGGATGGAAACCACTTTTTTGTTTCTTATGAGTAAAAGGTTAAATTAATAATATTTTGCACCGTGATTTTAAGGT